CTCCCAGAGCAGCTGGATAAGTTTCAGACCTCCGCCGGACCTCCTGCACAAGACCAGGAAATGTTACTGCAAGAGGAAGAGATGGAAAGCAAATTGTGGTGGCACCCTGCCCCCACCACTCTCCATTCCTCACCCCCATCAGGTCTGGAGAAGACCCTTCTCAGGAGACAGAAGGTGCTGCCAGACAGCAGGAAGGATACTAAAAGAATGCTATGTCCCAGAAGCCAAGGAGGGAAAGTGGTCGCAGTGCATGCGGCTAAGAGGGGAAATAGGACTGGCCCATCTGTACTGACCTGCCCTTTGACTTTAGCTGAGTGGAAACAGTTGGTCCGTGGCTTTGATGAGCAAGGAAAAGGACTGGGGAGTGCAGTGTGAGCAGCCAAGATGAGCGACCTCCCGCTGCAGCCCGGCTACTCACCAGTCTCCCAGGAGCTTCTGGAAAATGTCGATGCCCAGACTTCAACACTGCCTTCAAGGTCCCAATGTAATTAGTGTGAATGTGCTCTGGAGTGGCAGTCGTTTTTAGACATTTCCTCAATGTGCAGCCAGGGTTAAGAATCGAGGTGTAGCTAAGTAATACCGAAAAAAGAGGATTGTGTTTTTCTCTCCTTAAAAAACTGGAGAGTAGTGATGGTCCGGGCGCCTCAGAAGGTGACTCACTCCCCTGGGCTTGTATTTGTTGATTGATAGAGGGCTCTCCGCCCCCCCCCCATCCCCCCTGAGAAGAAATCTGCAGTCCTCATCTTCACAAATCCACAACCATGATAAGTCTGTGAGAGGAGGTGGAGGGAGGAAAAGGAGAGCAGATGGAGTGGGATCTATCTACACAACCTCCCCATCAGTCTGTGCTCAACTGAACCAAGTCAAGACACTGAAGTAGTCACCCCTCTCTCCTCCTGTAAGAGTCCAAAGCCCCAAACAGTCCAGCTAGTGATAGCCTAGCTCTCACTGTGGCCTCTGAGACCTTTGGTGGTAGAAGAAACACAGACAGGCTGAGTACCACCATTGTACTCATAATGTTTGAGTGGTATTGTCTCTGTGTTGTTGGGGCTCGTACAGCATGCTGTAGTGATGTTGCAGACACTGAAACTCTGCTTCACATGAGGCTTATGTCCCAACTCTGTTCTCTCTGCCCCAGGGCCTATGTGATTGCTCTGTTGGCATGGCCATCAGAGGCTTTTGTTGCCTTACATGCTGTTTGGTCCCCAAATGATCCTCTCTGTCTTTTGGGGAAGATTTCCCTCTGGGTGCATACTCGCTTCCCAAGGTCATTGAGGAGTGTACGTTGTCAGAGATTCAAAACGGAGCATCTGGCTGATTGGTGCGCTTGAGAAATGCGGATTGCCTTGTAGTCTGAATGGGCCTTCCACACTATCACCCTTGGACGTGGCTGAGCTGGATGACAGAGCTATAGTGAGGAGAGAGTCCACCTGCAGCTTCAACCTGGCAACCCGGAACTCCTGAATCACGTGTGAGCTTATAGCCATCTGCTGCCCGTCTGTCCGTTTTCCACAGTGGAGCGAGGAAGGAAAGTGTGAAGAAATAGAGACTGATAGCTGTTTCTTCCACCATTACTATTTTAAGAGAGAAGGAAATGTGGGTGGACGTTTCTGGTGTTTAGGCTGAGAAGAAATGAACATTTTCGCTCCCATCTCATCTGAAATACTAGTGTCCAAGTGTGTCAAAGAAACTAAAAACAAGCCCGCTCACTTTAGTCATATTTAAGAGAAAGAAATTGGAGATTCTCTCGTTACTGGCTTCCATAAACAAAACGGAAATCGCTGAGTTGGCGGTGGCCCCGGCTGGTTTAATTGAGTCCTAAAACACTCGCATCCTTCTCTCCCCAGGTTGCTGATATGGAATCTGGCAAACAGATTCAGCTAATCAACCGAAAGTCTCTGCGCGCTCTCACTGCCCAGCTGCTGGTGCTGTTGATGTCTTGGGAAGGAACCACGTCCATCTCTGTTGATGAGCTCAAGCGGCATTATGAGACCACCCACAGCGGTCCTCTCAATCCCTGTGAATACGGGTTCATGACCCTGACTGAGCTTCTGAAGAGTCTGCCTTACTTAGTTGAGGTATGTGCGCTGACGATGCTCT